AACGTTATCGCTTGTGCGATATTGTAGATGTGTATAAGAGACAGGCATTGAAGATACAGTGAAATATAAAATTATTCGTTTGTAAACTAATTTAAAAATCTTATTGTTATCCGTTAATAACCCCGGAGCCAATAGAGTTTATTTTTGTATAAGAAGATTGCATGTGATTATTAGAATTGAATCCTCATCGTATGATTTAAGAAAGAAATGATAACTGTTTATGTATTGTGCTTAATTAATGGAATATATTTATAAGATATTGGAATGAATTAATAAATGCAAATCAAAATACAGTCCGGCCCTCCGATTCGAGATCCCTCTAATATGAGGCCCCCTTTTACCAACTATTTCTAACACTGAGCTCACCCTTTAATTATGAGACCCCTCTAATTCGAGACCGAGACAACTTTTATGGAAGTACCAAGTGACAAAATGACCTCCCATTCAAAGACCTCATTTGAATATTTGAAAAATTGAATTTCAACATTAACAGAAGTTCATAAGTTTATGCATATAAAATAAAGGTTTCTTTAACAGTGGTAGGATATGGGTGATATTTCAAATACCAAATATACGTCTTAAATGAAGCAGTTTATTGACCTGAGCATTTTTGCACCTTTTTTCAAAAAGAAGATACACACTGTAGAATAAAATAGGTACAGTTAAAATTTTTTCTCTCTCTCTTTAATACAATAATACAAAATAGCGAAACATGTCGAGAAACAGGATTAGATTCGCTGTTTGTGAACGACATAATATAGTTCAGTATAGGATAGAAGAAGGCTGAATAACATCGAGTAAGTCCGTTCCACTTCTGATTTCCCAAATACACCGAAGGGGTTATAAATCTAAACACCATAGATGTTCAGATTAAAGTTCCATCAATACTGTGTTGCTAGTGGTATGCCGCTGCAGTTCTAATTCCATAAAATTAAGATGGTCTGAAAATAATGGGTCTATAGTACACTGTACTAAGTGTACATCATCAATTCAATTATAATTATCATAGCTAGATTTATCAAAAGCATATTACTATACTAATAAGCTTAATTAGCGACTGGTAGCGCCAGTGGAGAATGGTGCATCCTTCTCCCATCAAATAGCTCACAGCATTTCGTCGATGAGAAAGAAAAAAAAAACATTCTTGTGTAATTTTTTAAATTATGACTCTTTGAACATTGATTAAAATAAGTTCTCTCCAAACCCCTTAATTGTCGGAGCATTTGGACCTCCTCCGCGAGTGGTTGTGGGCGGCCACTTGGGCGGCCACTCGGACCCCACCCACTTATGCTTCCAGTCCTGGACGTGTTCCCTTCCCCCTTCGGGCGAAATCCAGGCACCAACATTGCTACCTCCGGAAGGAATAAACGCAGTGCCAGTATGAGGCATGAATATTACTAAAGTCCAGTCTTGATCGCATTCAGCATAGAACCTACAAAATTATCTTTAACAAAACTTGTACATTTATATGTTGGCCTTATTACCTCATTCACTATAAGAAGGGACAATCTGTGCATGGGATTCACTAAGACCCTGGACATGTACTTTGCTACCTGATAAATCAACTATAACCCTCGAGCTCCTAGAGAGTTCAAATTGTTTTTAAAACACCTTAAATATTAGGTCTACTTTAAATTATTCTGTACATTTCAAATTTTCCTTTAATTTGCATTAATTTGCAATATAATTATTTTGAATTTAAAGACAAGCATATAATTAATACAAAAATTAATGTTAATTATGAGGCTAGTTAATCTTGAGAAATATACTGTTTACTTCTTAAAGCATAAAAAATAAATAATTCACTGGTATATATATATTTTGTTTTTTTATTGTGATAAGATGTTTTTTTTTTAAGTAGCTTTCTTTTAATGGTTGAATAGGGTTTGAACTATTTCATTTCATTTCTTTAGGCACGAGCGCCAATAGTATGCACATCAGCAAACTTAATCACTATCCTACGTGGCATATCCATTGAACAACAGGGGACTATATGAACCAGTACACTGGGGTAACCCCCTACTCTTCCCGAAGGATGTACTGGGTTCTTTAAAGTGCACACGAGCCAAATGAGTACACTGGGCCTACGATTTATGAAGTCCATCCGAGAAGTATGGCGAGCCGAGTTGTCATTTAATCATAAATAGATATATCTTACTTTTAAATAGAGATATCTTAGTTTTAAATAACTAAGGTATCTATTAATAGAGATATTTTACTTTTAAATATAGATATCTGTATTCGAAACTAAGATATCTCTATTGAAAATTAAGATATCTCTATTTAAAACTAAAGATATCTCTATTTTCATGGTAAAGAGAGATATCTTAGCTTTTAATAGAGATATCTTAGTTTTAAATAGAGATATATTAGTTTTAAATAGAGATGATATCTCTATTAATAGATATATCTCTACCCCCCACCCCAGAAAATATATCCTAGACCGCCACGTTGTGCACATAAGGCGTCCACTTACTTTCTTCATTGGATGCGATCTTGTGCAAGTCAGGATATTTCATACCATATGTTTTCTTTTCTTCTTTCAGTTCTTGTTCTACCATTCTCTTTCACGTTGCTTTGGTCTTCACCTATTTCTTGCCTTCTGGCTTCCAGTTTAGAATCCTTTTTGTATGTCTTTTTCTGTTTAGACGTAGGTTATCCTAATTAAACATTTCCTATCATTCACAGACACAATACAAGTAGACAGCGACTATAGTAAGCCTGAAATTTTATTAGATATTATTATGTAAATATTTCATAGCTGCACTAAAGTTTTTTTTATACCATGGATTGGATGAGATGTAAATATAATATATTATTATATAATATATTATATAATATAATATGTTATTATAAAATATTATTTTATAATATTGCTAGTGTAAATATTCGTTGAAAAACGTTATCGCTTGTGCGATATTGTCGTAATTGTTTAATTCTGTCATGCTATCATTATTAATGTTATGATTAGCCATTGTTTGTGAAGATATTGGGCTACTAGCGACTAGTGTACATAGTGTGGCATTTCGGGGTTCAGGTCACCCACAACTAACATAGTTTAACCAGAATATTGGAACATAAGAACCAATAAAATGGAAATCAAGTACTAATTTTAATTTTATTTTTATTATTGAATGAATGCTGTATTTATTGTTTATTTAATTTTTAAATATGAACTTACTTATTTGAACAGCATTATTAATTCTTTTTAATTCATAATTTTAATGAATGAATAAATTGTAATTATACTTAAATTTGTATTTCTATCGTAATTTGGGGTATTTAGAGGATTTTTTATGTTTAGAAAAGTATATAAATAATAAAAAATCATAATGATAATTATTTTTTTAAATTGCTAATAAATTATACTTTTGTAGTTAGAATTATTAATTGAATGAATTTTAAATAATAAATTGAATTTAATTGATGTTAATATTTGATAATTAAATGGAAATGTTTTAACTAAACAGTCTAATAAAATTGCTAATAAATTGTATTTTTGATGTTAGAAATTATTATAAATTTTAAATAATTATTAGAATTTCATTAATGTTAATGTAATTGGTAATTAAAAAAAAACAAAAAACAGTTTCCCAGGCGAAGCCTATATTTAATTACGTATGATGTTGGCCTTAACGGCCCCAACAAGACATGTTTTGACAGTACTTTATAAATTATCAGTTATTAAATTTTGGGAATTAATACTATAAAACAGTAAATAGGGTCACTGTAACATCATGGAGTGTAGTAACCGGTATTAAAGCACCTAGACAACTGTATAAACCAAGCGTGTTTTTAATGTATTTTGTGTCTTTGAAATTCATGTACAGTGTATGTACAATACTAGGCTATCTGAAAAAAGCCCACTCTTTCTTAAAAAAGAAGTCAATGGGCTTTCTTGAGACTGCTTTTGCAAAGGAAATTGGGGGCTTCAATTTTGGATTAAGCTACTCCCACTTTAATTTTTAGAGGTTGTGTTGTTGGGGCTGAGTCCATCATGGTAAAGCAGTCCTCACTGGCTAGTTGTTACAATGACGGGAACTCTTCAGAATGAACTCTTGTAAATGCAAGTTCCAATCCACTGTTAGGTGCTTGCGCATTTGTGTCGAAAAATGCCGGGACACCGGCTTGTCTTGCCAACATAACAAGCATTGCAGCCTGCACAATACAAATTAATATATACGACACGTGAGCGGAGGCATACAGTGATGCGATCTTTAACAGAAAACAATTTTTTAATTTCAAATGAGGAAAACACAATTTTAATTTTGTAATCATTAAAAAAACTCATTCGATACGGTAAGGCACGGATTTTCTTATAACGACTTCAGAAAAAGTGCCAGCATTATGGTAATTTGAAGTATAAAATGATAGGTGTATTTTCTTCCAGCGTTTGTTTAGGATTTTTACTTAGAGTGAATTAACATACCGAAAACAATTTTTTTTCCAAGTATGGCAGTTTATGGCCACATTTTGGAATGAAAACTTGTTCAACTACTGTTGCTTTTGAAAGCTCTGCCAACTTATGTACGGGTAAGACCAATTTTGTAACTGAACGAAAAAAAAACAAACCCGTAAAATATTGTCAATTGAATGGATTATATTTCTATAAATGTTTAACGAAATTGCTTATAAATTATATATGTTTAGTTAGTTGAAATTAATTGAAAAATACAAGAAACCTAAAATGTTTTAATTTTTTTTTCAATTTATTGTTGAACGTTATGTTATTGGAATTCCCCGATGGTGTTCTAAAGTTTTGTAATAGGTTGATGTGATGAGATGTAAATATATATTTGAATATGACTTGTAAATATTCGGTAGAATATTGTCATACTCTACTTTAATTCGGTCATGCTATGTAATTAGATACTATTATGAAAATATTTCATACTTGCACTAAAGCTTTTTTTTAATGGGGTTGAGGTGATGAGATGTAAATATATGTTATATGACTAGTAAATATTCATTTATATTATTATTATTATTATTATTATTATTATTATTATTATTATTATTATTATTATTATTATTATTATTATTATTATTATTATTATCATTATTATTATTATTATTATTATCATTATTATTATTATTATCATTATTATTATTATTATTTTTATTATTATTATTGTTGTTATTGTTATTGTTATTATTATTATTATTATTATCATTATCATTATTGATATGACTGATTGATTGATTGGATAATGAATAGTTAATTAAGTATTGAGTCATTGATTAGTTAGTCAATACAAATTGATTGCATTTGATACTGTTGATCACGAGATATTATGTGAGAAACTTGCTCTAATGGGCGTTATCTCCTTAGACTGGTTTCGTTCATATCTGACGAATAGGACCCAGGTTGTTAAAGTTGAAGATTCATTATCTGAGCCTATGGATATCACATGCGGGGTGCCCCAAGGTAGCATTTTGGGTCCCTTGCTTTTTTGCTTTGTAAATGATATGATAGTCAGTATTAACCCTGAATGTAAATTACTCTTATATGCTGATGATAGTGCCATTGTATTTTGGCACAAAGATCCAAATGTCGTTGCCGATAGACTTGGTAACGCTTTAATTCATGTAGAATTTGGCTTATTGACAACAAATTATCTATAAACCTCAGTAAAACAGAATCAATAATTTTTTGTAGTAAAAAAAAACTTAAACGTATAAAATCATTTGAAGTCACTACTGGTGGCCTTACATTAAATGGTTCCCAGTCTGTCAAATATCTTGGTGTTGAACTCGATAATTCAGCCTCTGGTAATAATATTGCCAAGAGTGTTATCAAGAAGGCAAATGCAAGACTATGGTTTTTTTACCGTCAAGCAAGGTGTCTTGACAAAAATACTAGAAAATTGTTATCTATGGCCCTTATTCAATGCATTTTTGATTATTGTGCTTCTTCATGGTATGAAGGTATTAATAAAGGTTTAAAACAAAAACTTCAAGTCACCCAAAATAAAATTATTCGGTTTATCCTTGATTTTGGACCACGGACACATGTTGGTCACAAAGAGCTGTCCAGCCTTGGTCTACTTAAGGTTGAAGATCGAGTTAAATTTCTAAGACTTTGTAATGTCCATAAGATTCTTAATAATAGGGCTGCTCCATATCTTTCTGAGCAATTTACGCGAGTTTCTGAAATTCATACACATAACACTCGTCAACATAAAGTCAATTTGGTTGTACCTCTGCTTAAAGGAAATAATCAGTCTCATTCAACCTTTTTCGTTTCGGCTATCAATGACTGGAATGCTCTCCCAACTAATTTAAAATTAATTACTAATATGGCTACATTTAAAATACACATCAAAAAACTGTATGAACGCAATAGTGCTCAATTGCAATAATTACAAGAGAGCACTGTTGTGTTCTATCTAAATTATTAGTTAATTGGCTGCATCTTGGTTTTTAAATGCTAATTTTTTTCTTTTCCTTTTTAATATGTATTAATTTTGATAACTTTTTTATTGTGCAATTTGGACCCCATTGGAAATGGGCTGGATTCCCGGCCTAACGGGTGTTCCAGATGCTCGTTGTATTTGATTATTGTAAAAAATTCCTATATTGTATTTCTATTGTTTGGTTAATAATAATTGAGTTTGCCTTTAAATTTTAAAGTTATATTCAGTACAAGAATAGTTGCTGTCATTTACTGGTTTTTATATTTAAATTAAAAGCGTATACTCCTTGCTGGTATGAAGGGTGTAAAAACGGCGGGACTTGCAACTATGACGGTACCTGTTCCTGTACTGAAATGTGGGAATCACCTGATTGTTCAGAAGGTAAAGTTATAGCCTATAGCTATCCATATCTAAGTCATCCTCGAACCTAGCAAACAGCAAAATATAATTTAATATTAACGTTAACAATTATTATTATTATTATTATTGACTTCTTAAAGTTAGATATTTTAATATTGTATATCACATTCAACATTTGAAATAGATACCGAAATTGATTTTGTTTTCTCATTGACCGATTTCAAACATTTTCATTCTCTCTTTCGTAAAATGAATGTCACGAAAGAAGATTTTAATGTTTTGAGATCTAATTAAAAAAAAAAGAAAAAAAAGTCAAACATAACTGCATTTTGATGTTCTGTTCCCAGAAGTGTCAATCAAACTGAAAAACTGACCAATCAGAACAGGGCGAGGAACACGCGTATGTCCTACAAACACACGTGTTGTTCCACAATCGCATCTGTATAGGACCTACATTATGTTTTCTCTCTCCCCCTCTCTCCTGAAATTACCCCTTTTCAAGCTTAATTATATACTGTATTAAAAACAATATTGGCATAGGACCATAGTTCTAATTATGTTATGTATGTACCTGTATGTTATTGTTTGGTTATCTTGTTTTTTTATTTTATTTTATTTTATTTTTTTTTTCTCATTCTCTAATTTTCAAATTGTTCTGTAATGGTAATTATTTAGCATTGAATAATATACACCCCTCTAAACTACATTGCCTTTTTAAAATGAAGCTTTGATTTATTTTAATTTGTATTTATTTATTTTCATGTCACCTTTCATATCACTTTATTTATATTACTTTATGTTATATGCTTTGCTTTTCAATTGATTTTACTTACATTATTGTTTAATTTAATCATTGTCTGTATATGTGTATATTAAAAATCATAAGACTGGACTAACAGGCCTGAGAGCCAGAGTGTTTTTCACACTATAGTTAATCCTAGCCAACTTGGGTTATATTTTGTCTTAGTTTTTGTTAATTTTCCTGTCATTGTATTGTATTTCATTGGCTGAATATAGAATGAATGAATGAATGTTTTTTTGCACTTTCGTTTTGTGAGACCTAACAACAATTAGCGGAAATGTCAATTCTAGAATAAATTAATTGTAATATTTATGTTAATACAGTTCACAGGAAGGGGAAAAACACTTTTAAATGTATTATACCGTTTTTTCTTAAATAAATTGAAATATATTTTAATCCTATCAGGTAAATGGATGTAAGGTACTTACATAACAATGTAAAAAACAAAAGTATATTTGAATTAACTTTGATGTGACTTTGTATGGAGCGTTTGTTTTAATTTATATAGGTCCATATTATTTTATTTTTATATAGGTTGTTGAATCTGAAAGCCATGTAGTTTTTTTTCATATTTGTTTTCATTTAAATGTAAACACATTTGCGTGATTTTAGCTAATAAAGAAGAAAGATATGTTTTAAAAAATCAAATATATTTATAAACGTTATGTTAATCAATTACTGTATAGAATGTTACCCAAAATGAAAAAAAAAAAAATTAAAAATAAAAGACCATTGGTCAATTAGAAAAAAAAAATATCTATCTAGTTTTACACATTGATACAAATTATCACGGTGCTACTGGTTAAGTTCTAGATAAATTAAATTAAATCTAGGATGTTATTATATTTCAAGGAAAATCCTGTAAAGAATGCGCAAACGGAGGAACCTGCAGGTATGACCCTCGTGTGGGTGTGTCGTGCGACTACCCAGATGGGTGGTTGGGGTATTCATGTACTGAATGTAATCATGCAACACGTACAAATAGGTGATTGTGTATAATTAAACATATGGCCATATAGAATAAAAAAATAAAAAAATAAAAAAAATACAGTGGATATTCTTCCGTAGTGCGTTAAAATAGCAAGACTAAAGTTAAGGTTAGGGTCGGACAGCTTCACTAATCAGCATTTCTGAAGTTACGTAAAGGTCATGGGAGAAATTATCTGCTGCAAAAAATAGCAAAAATTGGGAATTCCGATAGTGTTGAGTCAGGAGATTTTATGGAATAATGTATCTTTTGCCCAACTGACGTGTTATCGTACTGAATGCTCAGTACGTTTCAGTACTATACTTGCGAAAACAAGTAATTCGGTGGGAATCAAACTCACGACCTCCAGATAACATTTAATGTGATTACGTCCTTGATTAGCCGTGTCTTGGTATTATTTGATATTGTATCAACGCTTAAGCATTATGCTAACAGTACCAAATGCAAGCTAGGCTTGCTGAGATTTTGAATTTCTTTTAGAAATGTTATGACGGTGTAATAATTCAAATGAAATAAATTGATCGATTCGCAAACTTAACCCTGGTTCTCTTAAGGGCGGAGATCTGTTTTGAAAGGGGGCGGGGGCATTTCGTCGACACACACCCCAACCTCAGCCAGACCATGGTTGGGGGTGAGGTGTGAAAATTTGATTAAATAGTGCCTGTGGCCGGAAATGACACTCTTATATATCTGTAGTAAAATTCATCCTCATCACATATCACTAATATAGGTAGTCCAAATGATGCGTCAGCAAATTTCTCATTATCTTTTATCAGCGATTTCCCGCAACCATAGAGATCTAATTAATATGTGTAATGCACTGTAGAAAACAAAACTTAAAAACATTTGGGTTTGATGTATTTATTTTACTTTACTCACGAGTCCACACCCATCTCAATCACACCATGTTTGGGGCTGAGGTGGAAAAACTTGGGGAAACCTCTAGGTGGCCGGAATAATACACTCTCATCTCAGTATAGCAAAATTCATCATCATAATCACATCACTATTATAGTCAAAAAGAAGCGCCAACAATTTTTTATGAACTTTTAGTAGCTGAATTTTCGGCAATGTAGAGATTTAATTAATCTCTGTTATGCACCATAGAAAATAAAACTTAATTGTCTTTGATGTATTTACTTCACTTTACCTACTTCATGTGCCGAAAATCAAATTTATATTATCTTTACACGCTTTTCCTCATACTTCTCAAATTGTAATAAAGGCACGCAGACTTGAGTCGTGTGCTATAGGTAATTCAGATGTTTGTGGGCAGAGATGCCGGTATCTTGCTTTAATTCAATTCAATTCATTTTATTCAGTCTGTTATATCAATACATATAAAAAAATGTGCTTCGAAGCTTAATGATCAAATATAAATACTTAAAAAAATTCTTGAAACTATAAAATGTTCCAAACAGTACAGTAAAATACAGTAAAACGTTATTAATAAAACATTAAAATACAGTAAAGAGTTTTAAGGTATATTATTAAAACACTGTACGATGATAAAATACAAAGAGCAAAAAATGCTTAAAAATGGTATAAAAATATTATATTTATGTTAAAAGACTAAGACCAGGTTAAAATAGTGTAAAATTATTGCATGTGTTAAAATACATATAAGCATGTGAGAAAATTTCATTAAAGGGGTAAAGCGGGGATGGAGAATTAATATAATCACACATCGGCACGTCTATTAGATGTATGGATAGAATTTGATTAAAAAAAAGACTGTCTAAACCTCTTTGTTTTCGATATAGGTGGGGTTAATCTGATACCTAAGTATATAAATTAACTGGGAGTACAGTTAATTGTTATTATCATTCATTATGTCTCTAACTTTCTTAATAATTTTCTCATTAAAAGCAAAATTTTAATAATTCGATTTGCTCGTTTGTTTATTCTTCTATGCACATTGTCTTTCTGTGTCATATTTCTAAAGATACAAGCGATGCAAAACGTCCTAACACTCATAAGAGGTATAGAATAATCTTAATATTATAGATTTTATTATTATATTTTTCCCTCCTTCTTTTGTTTACTCTCACTTACTAGTTTATTTGTATTATTTTTCTAATTAAGTTTTTTATAAAAAAGACAACCTAGGTATTTATATTCAGTGACCACAGCAATTTCTGTGTTTCTAATGATTACCGGTACATTTTCCTAAAATCTATTACCATTTCCTTAATCTTAAGTGTATTGAGTTTCATATTGTTATTATCACACCAATCAATAAACTCTATGATAGTATGCCTATACTCTTTCATTTACGTTTTATAGCCACTTAATACTGTGTCGTCTGGGTAATTAATCATTCAACATTCATTTGAGTTGACTTTAAAATCACTTGTAAACATTGCAAACAGAAGGGGAGATATCACTGACCCATTGTAACAACTCTCCTGTCAGAAATTGCATTATTAATTTTAACATACTGTGTCTTGGGTTTTAAAAAAGTTGTAAACCCATTTTAACAATTATTTTATTTAAGATGTAGACTGGCTAAATTTAAGCGGCGCTCAGTCGTTAAACCTGGGTCATTAAAGCAACCATTTTCAGGCATCTTCTTGACTAATGTCAAGAAGATGCCTAAACATGGTTGAAACTGACTGCATGATGTTTTAACGACTGTACAGCCGGACATTGCTGTCGAAAACGGAGGAGGACCAGTCCAACGCCTTTAGAATATTAAAATGGGGACGTCCCTGCGCCCATGGAATCTCTGCACTGTCGCTAAAGTGTTTTCAGTGCAATCGTTGTACTGTGTAGCAGTCCCAGACTTAATCGGGAAGGCTCCCCGTTTCGACCGACCAATTAAGTTCACCGAAAGCTGTCGGTGATCCCGTGTAACGATTGTATGGAAATAATAAGCTTTTAGGCACATATGGACCTAGGCTAAATCTAAATATATATTTCCTTTTAAACATGTCACCAAAAGCCAGGCGAGATTGTTCAGCTTCAATTTGTTTAAACCAACGACAAAGTTTATAAAGTGTTATGTTCATTACGAAAAATAATCTTTATATAATAGAGTATCTATTGTGGTGAGTTTATCACCGATCTAACGAAATACAATATCAAATTTCATGATAAAATCGAACTTTCCATTTTTTTTAAAGTTTTATTGTTTAAAAATAAATGCTAAATTTGATTCGCTTACGTTATTTTTCTCATATAATTACATTTAAGAGGCTACCACATGCAGAAGCAAAACGTGTGGACATCATGGACGCTGCAGTGATGATCGATTGACGTGCATCTGTGATCCTGGGTGGATGGGATCTCGCTGTTCAGAATGTAGGTAGAACTGTTGAACTCTTTTGCTAAACGCTATACCGGTAATTTAACACTATAAGTTTAACTCTCAAATCAGTGGCAGCGCTAGCAGAGATTGGGGGTGTCTATGGGGTTGGGCAAGACCTCCGTCGGGAGACCCGTAACACTCGACAGGCAGCAAATATTTTTTCGGGCAGCACTGTAGCTTTAAATAGCCTATGTATTGTTATAGTCTAAAAGGTGCTTTTCTTAATTAAATTTTAAAATTAAAGGTATGATTCAATGGATATAAGTGGATATAATATTAACAATCAAATATCTTCAGAAAAACTACTGTTAAAAATATAAAAATCCTGTGAAATTCATTTCTTAACAGTTAACTAATTGATTAGATGGATGATTAATTGATTAAGTTTTGAGTCATTGATTAATTAATCAATACAAATTGATTGATTAGATTGATGTTTGTTTAATTGATTAATTAATCAATATTCAATATTAATATATAATCAAAATTAATTGAAATAATCATTGTATAAATTAGTAAGGCTTATTCATTATTTCATGTTATTGGTACGTTATATTATTAACACCAAATATCAATTAATTGATCAATATTAACGGACTGGTTAATAATCATTACTAAGTTTGCCTTTAAATTTTAAAGTTTTTCAAGAATAGTAGCTGTGATTTACTTGTTTTTACTGATTTTACATATATTAAAAGCGTATACTCAATGCCGGGATGGTGGCTGTAAAAATGGCGGGACTTGCAACGATGACGGTGATAAGTGTACCTGTAAGGAAAGGTGGGGATCACCTGATTGTTCAGAAGGTAAAGTTATGTATAAATATCCATATCTAAGTCATAACTCGAATAGGCCTATAGCAAACATCAAACAATATGAATTACTATTAACGTCAATAGGTAAATTAATCTATTAAAACACAAGCTTGGAATGGCTTAGTTTGTTAAATTGCACTTCCATAATATTGGACCATAAACCTATTATTAGGTATGATTAGACGTTTAATTTAATTATTTAATTTATTTTTTTTTCCATTTTACGCATGTACCAATTTGTAGTTTTACCTGATTAATTCTTCTTCATTTCAGATATAATAAATGACTGTGAACCCAATCCATGTTTAAATTTCGGGAGATGTACTGACCTCGGAAGCAAAGTCAGGTGTGATTGCAAACTTGGCTATGTTGGCCTTGACTGCAGATTCCGTATGTCTTATTTTTTAGCATATAATGATTGAGAGGTGTTAAACTAATAGGTTTGTGGTTAAGATGCTTCTTTCCAGTTTCAGGATTCAATGGACCTTTCCGCTAAGCTCCGCCCCTTGGATATTGTTGCTTAGGCCCCACACAAACAGCAGTGTTAAAACATACGCGAACACGTGCGTTTGTGGGACAACACGTGTGTTTGTAAGACGCGCGCGCATTCCTAGCGCTGTTCTGATTAGTCAGTTGTTGAGTTTGATTGACACTCCGGAAAGGTCTATTCCTGTTAGGGTAACAGGATTGTTTTTTCATAACCAAACAACTCTACCCCCTCATAAAGAGACTTTTATGCTGCGTTCATTAGAACTTGTGAAGTCGGTGTTTCCCAGTTCACAACTCGTGAAAAGCGTTCACCTGGTCGGTGAAACACAAGTTGTGAACTCGAGTAGAAATTTCTTCCTCGATTTCCACAAGGAGTGTGGAAAATTGCGGATGTAACACAAACGAGCAAATGTGTTTATTGCAATTTGTTATATTATTTCAGGAAAAAAGTGTTTTTTGTATGTTTTATTTGCAACCTCATGATTTATACTGTAATGTTCTGAATGCATTTCACGGTGTCCTTAGTGTTTACATACGCTAGGCCTAGGCCAAGGAGCACAATCTCGAATAGGAAAAATAAGTTTATGTAGAGCATCTTGTGTGGTGCTTGTCTTGTGACGGGATTGTGATTGTGACGAAGTTAACTGCTCGGCATATCCTTAGCCCAAGTGCCTAAAGCTGAATATAAATATTAACATTAGTAATTATGGATAAACATATTTAGTAGATTCAATAAAGATGAAAAATGCACTATAATGATAAAATAATAATAATAATACTAATACTAATAATAATAATAATAATAATAATAATAATAATACTAATACTAATAATAATAATAATAATGATAATAATAATAAATAATATTAATAATAATAATAATAATAATAATAATAGTAATAATATTAATAATAGTAATAATAGTAATAATAATAATAAAAATAATAATAATAATAATAATAATAATAATAATAATAATAATAATAATAATAATAATAATAATAATAATAATTATTATTATTATTATTATTATTATTAGGGAGTAAAACAAAACAAACATCGTAAAACAAAACAAACATCGTATAAAAGACTACTTCTCCCCCAAATAAAATAGCACAGTCTTGTCCTTTGCACATATGCATTGACATAAGGCAGAGTAGTGTTCAAGGATTTGGTCATTAAGTATTTTTAAAAAGTAAATAAAACATTCCTTTTCATTAATTTTGATTTTTAAAAATTTCCGCAGCTATCCAGTATTGAACTGGGAATCAGCACGAGCAGAAGAAACAATACTATTCCATCACAGATAAAAAGCTGATTTTACACAGTCATTAATACTAATTTAAACCAGACTCCGGAGTGAAAAAATTGCTTTGATATGTTGTACAACTGACTATGACACAAATAGCTTATTTGACCAAAACATTCGGAAGCGGTTAATAGAGCACAGATTTATGAATAATAAAAAACAAAATGGGAGAAAAACTTTGTACAACATATTTAAAACTTTTCCTCTCGAGCCTGGAGTAAATGTCTACTTGTCCTTCTTTTTGTACATTGGCATAATGCAGGGTCTGTATGATGTTCATGAAGTTAGCGTCAAAAGTCATAAAGAGTCATCTTTCTTTTTTTGCAATATTATTATTATTATTGTATTATTTTATCTTACCTAATAAAAAGACATTCACCGTTTTTTGCTGATAAATAGTGAGAGTAAAATCAGAAGTAAAATTGCTAACATGATTATTATTATTATTATTATTATTATTATTATTACTATTATTATTATTATTAGTATTATTGTTGTTGTTGTTGTTGCTGTTGTTGTTGTTTAAACAACAGTCACATCAGCTTGCCTGGGGCGTGGGGTATATATAACACAAAAAGACCTAGAAAAATAGGCAAATAACTAAATGAATTAGATCAGAAGAATTAGATCAGAAGTAAATGGTAAAGAAGAGAATCTGCGAGTGTGAACAAATCGACACAACCGGGATTTTCTGCTGTCGTTAATGTTTATCTCTATATCGTTTAATATTATTTATAAAGAATGTTTTCGAAGATCCCCTCTTGTCGTTAAATGCTTAAGAAGAGGGTGTGTTATAAGGGTCTCTGTTGTTCACTGTGCAATAAGAACTCAGTAGTGCTCAGTAGCGACGCCATGATTTCACCGCTAGCGGGTCCAAGGTCCCCGACGGGGGTGTGTGGGGGCCCGGGCGGGGGGCTGACGAGAAAAAGGCGGGCGTTTTTGGCCTTCGATAAAAACCTTTCGAAAGTGGTCCAGGGGACGTAGACCCCGAAAGTATGACAATTTAGGGGTTTCCATGGGCTTATTTAATATATTTTAGAGTCTTTCTCCCCTACGGGTGGGGGGGGGGGGGTTGTAGCCCCTAGCTTCCCCACCCCCCGTAGCGCCGCCA